ATTAGTATGTAGCATAATTATTGTCGTTAAATAAACTATTATAATTAAATTGCTTATTTTAATTGTTTAAATAATATTTAATTATAAATAATAGAATATTAAATAAACAATTTAAATAGAAAATTTAAATAAACAATTCAAAGAAATAATTTATTTTGTTTATTTAATACTTTATAAACAATTTAAATAAGTAATTGAAAATAAATATTTTAAATCGTTTACTTAATATTTCATTGTAAAAGAAGATTTTAAATTGCTTATTTTAATTTTTTATATAATATTTAATTAAATAATAGAATATTAAATAAAAAATTCAAAGAAACAATTTATTTTGTTTATTTAATAGTTTATATTAATAATTAAATAATATTTTATTATTTATAAACTCTTTTTCATGAATTTTTCAAGTTGTTTGCAATTTTTTTAATTATTTATGTAATATTTATATTAATTGTTTATTTAAAATTTTTATTTTAATTGTTAATTGAATATTTCATTATTTCTTTAAATTGTTTTTCAATATTTAATTATTTATTTAATATTTAATTGTTTTTGTCATTGTTTATTTTAATTGTTAATTATTTATTTCAATTAAATATTCAAGAAAAAATTAAACTATAATTAATATTGCATAATAATAAAAAATAAATTAATATTAATATGAAATAAACAATTAAAAAATTAATTTAAAATGAAATAAACAATTAAGATAAATAATTAAATAAATTGTTTATTTATTTAATATTTAAAATTGAATATTCAATAAACAGTTAAATTAAATAGTTAATATTAATTAAACAATTAAATAACTAATTTAAGAAACAAAAAAAAAATGTCTGACCCATCCGATGACCCAATGTCTGGGCCGTCAAGGAGAAACAAAACAAAAAAATAAAAAATAAAGAAGATGCCTTGGGGTTGGATCCAGATAGTCTAGATCCAGACGGCGACGTCCAGCCATCTGGAAGTCACCGAAAATGGCGGTCTGGCGATATCCGCTCCCAAAACAAACCCTAAACCTCAATTTCATGCATAAATATTGATCTACAATAATTTCTACAAAGATTATACAACAAATCCACATAAAATATGGTTTATTTATTCAATAGTTTATACAAACAACATGCCAACAAATCAACATAAAAGGATCACCTTCTTCAGTTTGATAGTAAATCTCCGGTCTGGGTCGTCGATTTTTTTTACCATTGGGGTTGTCGGTTTCTCCACAATTTTTCTCTCTTCCAAATGGCATGATGGTAAAAATGATTTTTCATTGCTCTTATAAATTTTTATTAATTTTTTCTTTTTTTTACATAGATCACTATTTCCTCTTAAATACACCCCACCCCTTGTAAATTACACTTTTGCCCACCATATTTTATAAATCTTGCATATTACATTTTATCGTCATAAAAAAATTAAAAATATGTCATTAAAAATAGGTAAATAAAATAAATCATTCCATAAATATTATATTATATTGTAGTATAATATTTTATAATTATTGAGACTTGATTATTTACATATTCATTGAAAAAGTGAAAGACAAGATGTGGCATCAAATTTTAATTTTAAGCTACTCCACAACTTCCAAATAGGTCCACCAATAAGTATATGATTCACGGTCAATAAAATTAAGTCTTTATTCGCTTAGATTAAAATCAGACTTTTAGATTTTTATAAAAATTCATGTAACGTGTAGTTGAGAAATTGTGGGACTGTTAAAATATGTAGTTAAAATTAATTATTAACTCTGACTGAGATTTTCATCGACTTTTATAGTTGAACCAAAATCAGGACTAAATGAATTTCCAATGACAAAGAGGATTAGTCCGAACATAGATTAAATTAATGGGTGAGGACTCAACTAACTAATTTATTTTTAAAAGAGTAACTAACTTGGTTAATTTATAATAGGTTGAGGACCGAACTCCATATTTTCCTGTCCAAACATCACACGAGTCCATCCATCTTGGGTTTCCAATTCGCAGTTTTTTTGGATAATTTTCGTCACATATTTTTGTGCCTCTAACCTTTGATCACTTCATATCAATCAAACCGATTCCAAATTCCCCATCTACTAGTGAAAAAACTCTTTCATAGTAGTAATATTCAATTTGTAGTGATTATTAGAGCAATCTATGGGTTTCTTCACAGGGATTTATTTGATGTTCAATCTGTGCATGTTGCTATCGACGAAAACCACTTTGTCAAAATCTTTTATGGGAAAGGAAGGGCTGGTTGAAATCCCATCAAAATTCTTCAAATTGGCCAAAAGGGCAGAGGTTTTTGAGTGGATGGTAAACATTAGGAGGGCTATACATGAGAACCCAGAACTTGGTTTTGAGGAATTTGAGACCAGTAAGATTATTAGAAACGAGCTTGATAAATTGGACATCCCCTATAAGTACCCAATTGCTGTTACTGGTGTTGTTGGCTATATTGGTACTGGAAAGCCACCTTTTGTGGCAATCAGAGCAGATATGGATGCCTTGGCTATACAGGTAACAGGTTTGGTAATTTAGTTATGTTTTACTTGAATGTCTATATTTCAATTTTTTTTATTATTTTTTTTGGGTGTAACTTTGATTAATTACTGTTACAGAGATTAGTGTCATTTTCTTGACTTTGTTACTTACTAGTTATTCATGAAATTGTTCATAGTTATTGTATGGCAGTGATTTTACAGAACTAATAATGGCGTTGATTTGATCAGGAAGCCGTTGAGTGGGAGCATAAAAGTAAAATTCCTGGAAAGATGCATGCTTGTGGACATGATGCACATGTTGCTATGCTACTGGGTGCAGCAAAGATACTTCAGGAGCATCATGCTGATTTAGAGGTTGATCCCTTTTGCTTTCTTTCGGTTTTGTTCCCTGCGAATTGAGATAAGTAATATACAAATCTAGATGTATTATACTTTGTTTTTGAGCATATACAATTGTGAGGCATTTCAGAAAATGCATGCAAGAGGGCACAAATTTTGGACTTTGTAGTCTCGGAAAAACAAAAAATCTATTTAAGATATTTGTACAATACATTATGTGTGTATAGATATGGAAAATATGTAAATGACTTCCTACCTTTTAAGTGAGAGAAAAAAACTTCCGTCTACAGCTATATAAACTACATAATACTAGACAAGAAAACGCACTGAAACTGAGAACAACATGATTGGTCAGAAAGAATGATACCTGGATTAGCTCTTTGTTTTATGCCTCTCTTGAGAGAGAAGAGAAAGAGAGATATAGAAGAAGGGGGTGTTGCTGCGGGGAAATTAGGAGCAAATGTAATGAGCTTATATAGGACTTGAAACCTAGTGTTTCAATTATTGCTTCATATGCGTCAAAATTCTATAAAGGAAAAAAAAATTATTAGTTGGATTCTTTTTAAAGACTACAAAGTTTCATTTATTGATTTAATTACAACTTGCATAAAAAATAACATAACATAGGTGCAGTTGCAGTTTCCATGCTCGTTGAAGCCTCCGTTTGTGAAGAATTTATAATGCATACAATTTATAGATGAAATGAGCAGTGGATAAATGGATAATACTCTTGGGTCCATTGAAATGCATGGTTGGAATGAATTTTGACCAGTTTTATAAATGTTTCCAAAAGGAGGCTAATATGTACAACATTTTTGTGTTTTTGAAGGATGTAATCTTTTTCCCTAAATCCGAGTTTTGAAATCCATAGTGAGGGGGAAAAAAATTTAGCAAGACACTAATAATCTTCAAAACTCGAAACAAATACAGAAGGCAAGATATATAGGAACATGAGGAATGGACTTTAGTGTTAGTTTTTTTTGAAAGTGATATAAAACTCTTCCTTGCACAATGTTCCATCTGCAATTCTTGCTTTTTATTAACCACCACATGGTACAGATAAAAATAATAAATGTGGTTGTAGTTTTCATGCATGTTTAATGTGTACAACATTTTTGTGTTTTATAAAATAGCATCCATGTAGTAGGTCCATGTAACGTCCTTTGAATTTGACAAATTTATGCTAAGCATTTTATCTCAGTTGCTTACAACTCAATAAAGCTATAGCTATTCCAATAGCAGTTGGAAAAATCGAGAGCAATTGAACTTTCAGGAATAGATACAGTTATATAGATTAGGAGTGCATTGTGCTCCATTTCCCTTGCATCCAAATCTAAGTCATGGCTTTGTGTAGGAGAATGATGATGTTCATGTGCTATGGCTTTTTTATTAGGTATTGGCTTGGAGTTTTCTCTCATAGTATAGCCATCCCTGCCCCTTCACTTTAATCCTACAAGCTCTTATCCCACTTTATTTGTTTGACATGTCTTCGCTGGGTGTTTAGGAATTATTATAGAAAGTCAGTCAAGTAAATGAGGGGCGGCCATTTGGTTGTCAATGATACTGGATGAATAGCTGCCTATAATAGACTGAAGCTCAGGGCGTGGTGATTTGGCTTCTTCCAAAGCATATATTTCAATCATAGTTCACGGCATCAAAGAGTTAGCGTAGTGGATGGGCACTTAATTTGAATAATAGGCATGGGAAGAGTTTCCCAAAAGTAATCTTCCTTAATACTGTTTTCCTGAAGAGAAGTTACGGTATAACAATTTGATTTTGAAGGAATTGACATCAAGGAGATGAACAAATTCTTAAACTTGGGATCAAATCATTTATACTTTTTGAGTAGGAGGGCATCCGAAGAACACATATTTGACTGTCAGTAAGTCTAATTTACCTCTAAGATAATTGTGCACATGAACAAAGATCCCACAACCGTAGAATTTTAAGGGAAAGAGGTACAGAGGACATCTCTTCACCTCATGAACCTTTTTTTCTACAGTAGCATCATACTTAAAACAGTACAGGCCATCAAGTCCCCTAGTACTGCTAATCTTTTCCCCTAAATCCTAGTCTTGAAATCCATAGTGTGGAAAAAAATTATTAATACACTAATAATCTTTCCTAAACTTCTTGAATCGAAGTGATAGGTCAGGAAAATAAAGAACGAAGTTTAGCATTGAACACAACCCTTCCTTGCACTAAAGACGATGTTCTATCTGCAATTGTGGACTAAAGATAGGAAGGGTGAGAGGCTTTGGTTAGCTTTAGACTTATTTATAAATTTGTGCAATAGCTCTTAGCTCATTAGTGAAACGCCAAGATTCTGGTCATCTAGAGTTGGTAGGTTGTTGTATATCACATGGTAGGTTGTTGTACATCACCTCTTATCTGAAAAATATGATCGTTTCTCTCGGAATACTTGATATTTTTCCTAGTAGTAGCTTTGCCATGAACCTGCCAACATACCTCTTTGGAAGGACTTGAAGAAGCTGGGAAATATTTATTTTTTGCATCATTGATTTTTTGCATCATTAACTGTTTGTTTAGTCCTCTGCTTTATCTGACAACTAGTGACACCAGTAGCAACATAATTCTCTTATGGATGAAAAGTTTTTGTATCTTTAGGGTACTGTTATGTTAATTTTCCAACCTGCTGAGGAGGGAGGTGGCGGAGCAAAGAAAATGCTTGATGTTGGGATTCTAGAGAATGTTGATGCGATCTTCGGATTGCATGCTTCTACTAGATATCCACTAGGCACAGTGGCCACTAGGTCTGGCCCCATTTTGGCTGGCAGCGGTTTTTTTGAGGCATCAATTGCAGGAAAAGGAGGTCATGCAGCCCTTCCACAGAATACTGTAGACCCTATTTTAGCCGCTTCGAACATAATTGTTAGTTTACAGCATCTTGTTTCACGGGAAGCTGATCCCTTGGATTCACAGGTACTCATGCATATGCTATTGTCAATCTACTAAGGCTACAAGTTAATTGTTGATGGGATTTTAAGAACAAATATTGAATCGTGTGTTGTCATTTTTCAATGTTTGCATAAACGTATACCTTCTATTATATAAATTTTTTTCAGAGATTTCTGGAAAATTGTTCAGTATTTACACTTTTCTCCATTAAAATTAATTTTTGCTCATAGTACTAAGTGTTCCCCTTTTACACGTTATGTTCTTTCCCTATACCTCCTCAGAGGACCATTGTGACTTTTCAAGATGACATAGTGGTCTTGTTTGAGCTTAAAGGATGCCCGTTTGTATTCATTTTTCTAGACAATTGTAGACAAGAATTGATGATCTCGCAGGTAGTCACTGTTGCTAAATTCCAAGGGGGTGGTGCATTTAATGTTATTCCTGATTCAGTTACGATCGGTGGAACTTTTAGGGCATTTGCCAAGGAGATTTTTGCACAACTCAAACAGCGCATTGAAGAGGTATTTTTTTTTCTCTCATTTTGTTAATTGAGGAGCTTCTTTGACTTTGTTATTTAACATGAACTTCAGTTTTCTTATTATTCCCTTAGGTACTCGTTAATTTATCTGATTCATGTAGGAAGAGAAGCAGCATTTCTTCTAATTTATAGTTGAAAGTTAAATTTAAATAAATCTCTCTTAAGCTTTTGGCTTAGGTGGTTCAACATTGTGTCGTCTATGCAACGTCAAGTCCCCTGCCACACATTTATTTAAAGTGTGCACGTGTCAAACTTTTAACGGAAAGTTAATTTTAAATAAATAAATGTGTCATCTCTCTAAGAACTTGAGCTTTTAGACGAGATGGTTTGGCAACATTGAGTTTTGGCATTCCCACTGTTTTGGCTTATTATACTTGAGATTGATTCTCTCAAATGCAATTTACAGGTTATAACCATGCAAGCTTCTGTACAAAGGTGCAATGCGACCGTTAACTTCAACACGATCAGCCACCCTTTCTACCCCGTAACTGTGAACGACAAAAATTTGCACGAGCATTTCCTCATCGTAGCCGCGAATATGCTGGGTGGCAAGAATATCAAAGAGATGCAGCCACTGATGGGAACAGAAGACTTCTCGTTTTTTGCTGAGTCAATCCCGGGATACTTCTACTATGTTGGGATGTTAAATGAGACTCAAGAACAACTTGAACCTAACCATTCACCGTACTTTAAAGTAAACGAAGAGGTACTTCCTTATGGTGCTGCTTTACATGCATCATTGGCTGTAACATACCTTCTTGAACATCATTCTCAAGTGACAACACAGAAGCAAAGTTCCCATGATGAATTGTAAATTGATGAAATTGTATACCCACGTGAACAAACCAGTGTGGACCAATAATTTTTTCTGTTAACTTGAATAGCTAGAGAACAGCCTTTTCCTTTTCATTTTTTGTTCAAGTTTCTTGTTAAATCCTTCATGTGCCAAACTAGCATGAGGTTGTCTAGATTTACAATTTAGTTTTTTTACAAGTGAAAATATTACTTATTTTGATAGACTAACTGTCGTCAAAATAAATAATTTATCTTAAAGATTGAAAAAAAGGGTAAAATTGCAGCGGCACCTCCATCCTTGACTTTCATACATAGTCCCTGTGATCGCGCTTATTTTCCAACTTTTAGCAGTTTTTTATCACACAAGGGTACCATACTAGTCAAAATTATTGACCGCCTGAGTATCCAACAACTAAAGTGAATAAGAATGGCATTTTTGGTAATTCAAATATAAAAATGTGAGAAGAAGTATTTGTTAAACTAAAACTGCCTTTGAATTGTGGATCAAACTTCATGCAAAGTATGTGACTAAGACTACACCAAATACTTCTTATTAAAACAATTCTTTTGTTTCAAAATGGACCCCTCACTTAATTTGGACGAAAACTTGAATAGATTAACAAAACTTACCCAAGACTTGGGTAATTGTGATGAAAATTTTTCAAAAGATCAGATGGTTGTAGTCTTGTTAAACTCCATTAGTGACAGTTTGTCGAGAATTTACTTAACATGCACAGTGGAAATAAAACAATTTTCAATTCTCAAACGAGGATCTGCAATGTGTTTAGATAGAAACTGTGATGATAATGATACCTTTGATGAATTCCACAAACTCTTTTGTTTTTTCTTGAACTCCAATGATCACGATCTGCAATCCAAGCTGTCCAATTGTCCAGCCTCCAATGGTAATCCACACAGAGAACAAGAATGACGGTTA